CAACAACAGTTCTTTTCAAAACTACCCTCACTCGGACGACCACACAAGTTTCTATTATGTTAGTTATAAAAATTTGATGGTACATCAAGGCAGTGTCCCACAGCAAATGATTTTCATTTTTATCATTACCTTATTGCTGAACAGTGTCTCGATATTGCAAGGAGAAATAAGTTTTGATCAATCTTGTGGATTCAATTGTTAAGTTAGAATGACGATATAATTACGTTGTCAGATATCTAAATGTAGAAATAGCATCAATGCGGAAAAAAATCCGAGTTCCAGATGGGATTTGAACCCACAGCCCTCCGTGATCTAGCCGGACGCTCTAATCACTGAGCTGCTGGAGACTCTACGATGAGCAAGGGTGAAATGTGGGTCTTTGACTGGGGCAGCAGTGCACGGTCACACAGCCAAATAATGGACATTATATGGATCACGGAGGGCCGTGGGTTCAAATCCCATCTTGATATCGGATCACTTTTCCGATTTCATGCTATTTCTACATGTAATATTCCATATATTACTCACTTCATCAGATATCTGTTTTATTTTTCCATTAAATTAAGGTTCCATATCGCCCTGCTGTTGAGGTGACATCAATGTCGTACTTACCAAATACACAGATTGAAAGTTACCTAGGCAACATCAACTTGTTTTTAATACGGGAAAGCCACACAGTTCGTGAGGTATGGAAAACTCGTACATAATAAGTTCTAATCTATATTTTTTATTGTAGTTGTTTTTTTTCCTAGTTGATTGAGCTATCAAGTGTGTTATTTGTTTTTTCTTAGAATGGTGGTTTAAACGTATTTATGCAAGCATTTTTGGCTGAAGCTCAAGCAATCCTTAGAGCTCATGTGTTAGCAATTGGAGGGAATGCCTTGGTCTCTTACCAGTTAAATGAGATTGTTCTGCTTGATAATCCTCATAAACACCAGGTAAGTCACATTCAGGACTCATCCACATAAATGCGTTTGGAAATGAGGAATTTTCCTGCTCAAAACTTATCAAAAGCAAATTGCATCCACGCTGCCTTTTATGCCGCATTTTTCCCTGTGTACATTAAACCTTCTTGAAAACGCTGGTGCACTACGAGAAATCAACACAACCATCACTTACGCAGGCGCATGTGTTGTGAGTGATGTCAGCATTCCAAAACCTCCGTTTTCACTGTCCACGCTAATGCAACAGGGATCGGTTTTCAAATGTCTCAATTCTGTACA